GACTCATCAATGCAACCTGCAGAATAAACCATATTTATTATTACTCCAAGGGGCTGCAAATATGAAATTGAACGGCATATTTTCTCAACAAAGCTGAGATGCTGTAAACTAATGTATTTATCTAACAGTCTACCGGTCTTGACAGCTAATAACAAAACAGGCAGGAAATAAAACCTATTAAGGGACATTTTAATCTTTTCACGGCGTGATAAAAAGCAGCAATCCCTCGGCTTTGGTATATAGGGGTAATTAAATCCCTGCTTAAGATGAAAAGCATTACAAACGCCATTTCCAAAAGACCCCCCTGTAGACCATTTCCTCAAAACTGGCACACAAGAACACATATACAGTACATAGCCATTAAAAGTGTATATAACAGAACTTTTCGCAACCTGACAGAACTTACAAGATCTAAGGAAGTTTGAGGCACATTAAAAATGAATCAGGTCGAGTCGTGCCTTGAGCCACATCTTTGGCGTTTTAACTTTTTTTTCTGTTTTCTCTCAAAAATAACTGTGGTCTTGTGTCTTTTTCCCTGCTTGCTCAGTTGTAGCCCTCAACTTTAGCTTGACCCTCACAGTATGAAGGCGGCTGAATTATCTTCCTATCATACCTCTAGACGTTGCCTGCCTTACAGGAAGTGTACAATGTTTGGCGGAATTGACCGGTAATGTTTGCTACTGAAACTTTAAAGTTAGGCTTTAAAGTGCCTTTAGGCTCTTGTAGACTGTGCCAACTCAATTCTGATATAAAATCAACATGAAACAGCATTCAAAACCCATTTTATTTCTCTAATGTGGCATAACAGGATATGCAATCAATGTTATGTGTACTGGGAATTGTTTGAATTCGAAAAAGTGGGTGATACATACCAGAATATGGAGCCTGACCTCTTGAAACACTTCTTTTGAGGAGACTTTTGGATCTGGATGTAGACATCGAAGGTCAAGTTCAGCCTCAAGAGCCTCTCCACGTATCGCAATGGTGCTTCTTCAAATCTACCTTTACTTGATATTTTGCTGTAAACTTAACTTACATTAACTTTAAACAAAATGACACAATTAACTACTAGAAAAGTTTCTGAAGGTATGCATTTCCTACAAAAAAAGCTGGATAACGTTAAACAACAGGTAATGACATCTGCTGAAAAGGAAAATCATGGAAAACAAGTTATTACCTCTAACAAAAAATGATTAATTTTCTTTGGAATAACATGAAGATGAATCATGCACCAAAAAAGTGCACTTTTCATGTTAACTTCAAATAGTTTTCACATAAAACGAGGCAGTTTGCAAACCTTAACAAAACAAAAATCTGCCATAAAAGTGAATAAACTGAATTGGCAATCTACATGAAACCTGAACTTATTACTTAAGATATATTTAAAACACATGCCAATCCATCACTTAAATACATTTGCTCTCTTCCCCAGGCTCGGTTTACTTATTACTCAAAAATTGTTTGACTGAAAGGCACGCAAAACTCGAGCCTCAGTCACAGTGGGTTCTTCTCTGAGGTCTTGGTTGACCTGCTGAGTTAATACCCATCTCGAGATAAGGGGGTTGGGAATGCTCTACGATTTGAGTCTTTTTGCATTAAACCCGGAGTGGTGCCATGAGACTGTGAATGACATTTTATTCCTCGTTCTGGTGTCTATTCAGGGGTCTTGAGGGGGCCTGTCCTGATTAAAGCAGCCAAAAGTACATACAGCTCATTAAAACAAGAAATAATTTCTGTGTTTTCTAACCGCACACCAAATTCATTTTATCAAGGCTTCAGGAGCACAAGCACGAATGCTCAGCTGGAGCATGCGGAATAGAGATATGAAAGAGAAATCGCTGGCACAATACATTAGCAGGAAAAAGGGAGGGGAAAAAAAGAGCAAAAAGGCTTCATCACACTCTGAACATGCAACTAAATTTGACAAGAGCATCAGAGGACAATGGTTGGTTTTGAAAGGCTTACTATCTCCGCGGACAAGATGGTAGGAGGCCAGAGAATTGTAGGCCATAAGTTATTCGTTGCTTAAAACTTTATTAGTGGGAGGACAGAAATTGTTGAAACTATAGTTCTCTGTAAAACCATACAGAGAGGGGAACTTTACTCACCCATGTTGTGGGAGTTACAGTGCCATTTATGTGAGCAAAACTGCTTGAGCTCTTAGGAAACCTGCAGTATGTCTTTTTTATACAAAGCAATACAGCCCTGATGTAAATTATTCATTAATTATATTAATTTGGACAGCATTAGGATGTATTAAGCCAAGTAATATAACTGGGAATCAATCAAAACACAATCCACATCAAAATTATATGCAAAAGCATCTGGGTTTTGGCCTTGAGTACACCTGATCAGGAGGGCATTCTGGGGGACAAAAATGAATCCATTATGTTTATGTAGTGTTATCCGAAATTTAAAATCACATTAAATAAATGCCAACTACAACAACATTTCAATCATAAAATAATGATGTTACTTTGACAAATAAATAACAGTTACAATCTTACAAATGTTTGGCACCGTCCTTTAAAATAATTTGCTCTTTGTTTTAGTGCCAAGAGGGCACTTTTAAGACTATGTGTCTGTAAACTTATACAGTAAGTGTAGATTGTAGACTCTGCATATGTCTTTGTGTATATGTGCGTGTTTGTATGTACGTGTACACATACAGTGATTTAGTTTTCACTGGACATACCCATTGGAAATCTAATACTACTTGTACATATACTGTGTGTAACAATTGTTAGTATAGATTGTTCTCTTGTTGGTTGTGTTTGTCACAGTTTTCACAGTCAGCCATCAGTTACATCAGATCAACATTGTATATCTTTAAGACCATACACACACATTACCAAAAACCAATTTGTCAGCAGGAAAGCAAACCACAAATAACTGTCATTCCCATATGCCAACAATGTACTTATACTTAAAACATTCCAAGAGCATAATAATTTCTCTCCAATTGTCTTAGTTTGGTATCTCCCAACCACAGTGCAATAATGCAAGCCTCGAGGCTGTTTAGAAAACTCATCTCCAAACTGAATTTAGGAAAATAGTAGGGAAAAAACAACTTTTGGAGTCTTAAATAGGAATAAATGAGATTTCAAGAAAGTTAATGATGGTGGAATATTTGCATGTGTGGGTTCGTCGTTTTGTTGCAAGCTCTAGCTATGGGTCTGCGTTTGTCAGTGATATTCATATCAATCCATGTATACTCTCCTCTGGCACTATTCTATACAGATATACACAACAAAAACAAAACATTAGCTGAAGCATTAATATAGCTTCTTTCTTAACAGGGTAACCAATTACTAAACATGCATCTTGTCTTTTCATCGCATAGACTGTGATTGAGTGCAATCTTGAATTCCCTCTGAGAGGTTTTAGTAAAATGGCTCACAAGGCAAACCTCTGAATTTTGACTCGACACTGTCAATTCTCAATTACCGAGCATTGATTTTGAACCTTGAAGGATGATGTGACATTGTTGATGCATGTTGAGAGTTCATAAGTTTCAACGCTGGCCAAATGTGACTGTAAACGGAAAATCAATTTCCATGTACAGGTTGAATTCTAATGATGTTTGCGGTCAATGCTGTGAGAACCCAGTGGATGTTAACCATATGATATAAACAACAAATGCTAATGTTTGTCATCAAAAATGCCCTTGCCTGAAATTTCAAAGCCCATAGGCCTATTTTGAAGAGCTTGAGGTGTATATTTTAATAAATCGCTCTGAGGAAAAAGAGCTTTAGCTTGACTTTCATTGCCACGGGCGAACCAGCAAAACTCCAGGGATGCATTCTAGGTGATGACCTGACCATAAACGGAAAATCAATTTCCATGTACAGGTTGAATTCTAATGATGTTTGCAGTCAATGCTGTGAGAACCCAGTGGATGTTAACCATATGATATAAACAACAAATGCTAATGTTTGTCATCAAAAATGCCCTTGCCTGAAATTTCAAAGCCCATAGGCCTATTTTGAAGAGCTTGAGGTGTATATTTTAATAAATCGCTCTGAGGAAAAGGAGCTTTAGCTTGACTTTCATTGCCACGGGCGAACCAGCAAAACTCCAGGGATGCATTCTAGGTGATGACCTGACCGGAAAGGGCGAGATTAATTTCAATCACTTCTCCAATCTGGCAGTGTTAATACAATTAGCACCTCTGTGACCTCTTGACTCCTCTGCTGCAAATTACTAATTAATTTTCCCTATAAAGCCATACAAGGACAATAACAAGGTCTTAAAAAATGAGATGTGAGAAATAATTGAATTAGTTTCATACCATCCCTAGTTTGACCACAGCTGACATTAGGTCAAGAAAAGTGGGTTATAACAGGAAACAGAAGGTCAGATCAGTAAGGAAAAATAACAGCAGAGCTACTATACTATTTCAGTGAAAGAAGATCTGACCAAGTAATCATTTAAATTCAAATATGGCATCTGATTCTGTGGAATCAATGGCAGAAAAAAAAGTAGTTTACACATGTGAAGCCTGTTCAAGGTGTTCTGTGCCTGTGATAAACTTAATAGATCATTGAAAAGTTTTACTCAAACACCAGCAACTCAGTTATTATGAAATTATATATTTAACTTTTCATGAAATTATAGCTTCCAAATTAGGTTTGGCGTTTTATGAAAGTGTGTCATTCGGTTAAGCTTTGGCATTTTACCTCCCATCAGGCTAAACAAAGCAAACTCTTTGTGTAACCTGCCTCAACATTTAATACACAACTGTAAGTCTTGGGTATTTCAGCCTATTACTACATTGGGGTCTATATCTAGCTGCCACTTGTAAAATCAAATTGAGACATAAAGCTTCACTCATTTTACTCTTTCCCTTCTTAGAATAAAAACTGGCTAAAGAGTACAAATGAAGAGAAAAATGTCTTTGAAGCTGGCTGTGCCACAAATGAATGCCAAAAAGGAATTAACATTGTGTGTTTTATCAAATTGCCACACTGCTTGAATATAAAGCATGTCCAAATGGCTGCACATGCTGTGTAAAATTTGTGTAGGTGTCCCAAATCAATGAATATGCTTTGCTTGAGCAAACATTAGGGAATGAGAGGGAAAAGGGTATCCATGTTTTGACCTGTGGCTTCAGCCAACATTTCTTTTTTCCTTCTTAATTAACATTGTAAAACAATCATCTTGACAAGCATCAGTTACCATCATCTCTTGAGATTATATTCAGGCATTTATAAAATAAAACCACTAATTCCTAATTTAAGACATAGGTGGTACACAAGGTAAAATGGAGGTATTCTAAACTGAAACTGGATGCCTTTTTATGTGCCACTTCCTCTGCATTTCTGGTTGGTTGCTTATCTATGCCTTAATGAGCTTGGAACACCTGCTTAATTCTGTCTCTTTTAGAAGACTTGTCTCTGTGGTGGCCTATAGGAACCAAAGCACCTGCTGATGGAGTCTGCCGAGCTGTCTCAAGAGTCATCTGTCCTTTTCTCCACAACCTCTCCTCCTGCTGTCATGTCTCTTACAAGCATCACAGTTTCTGCTGTGCTGACACCCCCTTCCAGTAGTCCAGAATGTCATGGAGATCCTCATCCTTTGCAAACTGCACTTTCTTTCGAAGAGCATGACCAGCGGCTATGTAGGCCTCTTCACGGGGGCTTTTCTTGTATGGTCGAAAGCGCTCCCAGATTTTAAGAGTGCTCTCAGAGGAGTACTCAGGGCTAGAGGAATACCCTGAGTAATTGTGGTGACGGGGAGAAAGCTGTGAATAGGCAGTGTCCTTCTTGGTGCGAGTGAGAGGCTTTAGAAAGGAGACTTTCTGGGCAGGGGAGTCAGTGGCACCCTCATAGTAGAGGGCGGGGAAGGAGTGTCGGTGCTCTGAGCAGTGGTAGTCTGGGTGCACCTCCAAGTGGTGCTGCTGAGCTGTGCTGCCCCCACCTCCGACCACAACACCACACCCACCTGAACCACCACTGCCACCACCGGCTCCCCCTCCACCCCCACTGCCACCATCTCCTCTGCCATTACTGACTCCATGAACCCCTATTAAGGGCAACCTCTCCAGTGGCTCCCCGCACCGAACAGGGCTGCCTTTCTCAGGGTATTTGCATGGCTCTGTGCTTCGAGGGTCTGGGACTTCCAGACTGAAGACCCGAGCATTTTTGACAGAGCCACCGGAAGAAACGCTGCAGCGATTTTTAACAGAGTTGATAGAAACAACTGCAGCATCTGCACTGAGTTGCCTCTGCAATGGCCGTGATGCTGTAGCTGGGGGTGGGTCCCTGTAGGGAGGGGAGAGAAACCCACCTCCGCTGATGCCGGGCCGCTCAGAAAGGGGCAAAACAAGAGGAACAGGGGGTGGAGGACGGATTTTAGGGGACGACATGATATGGCATGACTCTGTGATGGTAGGGGAAAGTGGAATTAGTCCCCTGGCTAATGAAGGGACACTAGGAGGTGGTGGAGAGGCAGTGTTATCCGCTGTAGTTGCAGTGGCCGCAGCTGCTGCCACAACAGCTACAGAGTCTAGTTTGAGTGCATCAATGCAGTTATTGATAATCTGATTTACCTTGTCCACCTCCTTGGCAATGGTAGAGATCTCCGATGTTGAATCTCGGCCATCATCATCAGAGTCATCTCCTCCATTAATTCCATTTTCATCCCTTGTGATTTCATTCCCTGACCCTGTTACAACTCCATCTCTTACTCGCTCCTCTCCTCCTGCTGATGTTCTTACATCCATGTAGTTGCCCTTATTGGCCATGGCCTCTGAGAAAGATGTAGCCATCTTCTCCACTTGTGGAAGGGAAGAAAGTCGAGAAGAGGTGGTGTTAGCTGAACTATGAAGGATGCCCAAGCTGGAGGATGCTGACTGGGACAACTTGCCGTGGTGGTGTTGATGATGGGACTGGTCATGGAGTTTCTGCAAGGCTGAAGGATCCTTGGCTGCTGCAGCAGCTGCTTCTGGCCCATAGCGCATCTCTAAGATAGTTTTCTTAACACTAATAGACTTTTCCTTTTCCTCTTGCATTCGACGCCTACGTAAGCAGTAGTACACCAAGCCCAACACAATGACCATCCCAAACAGGCAGCCTAGAATGGTCATAATATAATGGGTGGTGGTAGAAGGGGTTGCTCGCAAGTCATCAGGACCTGGAGCCCGAGTTGCAAAATACAGACAAGTGTGATTGTACCGCTGGGAATTGCGAATGGAGGCAACACAAAAGGTATAATTTGTGTGGGGATTTAGATTGTTTAGTTTGACAATCTCATTCTTGTTTTTTAAGTTCATGATGTCTGACACATAGGTGTGGTTGTACTGCACTAAAATATACATCTTACTGTAGGGCTTGGGTATTTGAACCAAGAGGGATGCGGAAGAGAGGGAGACCATTTGCAACTTAATGGTGGGGCTGTATGTGGGGTCTGTGGTTGAGGAAGCTGTGGGCTGGTAAGAAGGTCCCATATGATCATAAATATCTATCCCCATCCCAGAATAGTCTAAGTCAGGAGGCAGGGCAGTTATGCCACTAACAATAACTCCATTTTTACACATGGATGACAGGATAGAACGAGCATTTCTTCCATGATTACCTCTAGGACTCAGGAGAGGGTAACCAAAAAGTTCTTTTGGGGTCTCACACTGGAGCCTGTCATAGGTGTGAGTGACATTGTCAAATGCCTCTAGCCAGATAAGGAAGCCATACAAGTCACAGCCACAATGGAAAGGATTTCCAGCCAGTTCACACACTATTAGCCGCCCACCCAAAATGGTGAAGGTGGATGAATCCAGCTTTGCTAATTTGTTAGAGGAAAGATCGAGACTGCTAAGGCTTGGGCACTCCCAGAAGGCATTGGTTGCAATTACCTCTATAAGGTTATGCTGCAGATACAGGCACTGCATTCGACCCAACCCTCGCAGCATCCCTTCGGTGAGGTTGGTTAGCTTGTTATATCCCAACTGCAAGACCTGTAGATTGGCCTGTCCCGCAAAGGCACCGTCCTCAATGTAGGAGAGTTCATTCTTGGTGAGGTTGAGGTCGGTAAGGTTGGTGAATCTGCTGAGGGAGCTGAAGAAAATTGCTTTGAGCTTGTTCTCATTCAGCCGTAAATCATGGACGGTGTTGTTAATGTGCAGTGGGATTGTCTCATATGGAGGCTGGTTCTGACTGCAGATTGCCAGCCACACATAGCCTTTATCCCCCTCAATTAGCCAGCAGTCACCCCTCACAAAAGAAGGTACATGGAGAAGGAGAAAAATAGGAAGAGAGAGGATAAGAAAGGAGGGTGGAAAAGCACAAGTTAAGCTGAAACTGCAGGCCATTTTGGAGTAAAAACTGGATTTGTTTTGATCAAGGTGGGAAACGAAAGAGGTTAGGGTTCAAAATAAGAATAAATTATCACAGGAGATGTATGGCCAATAGGATTACAAAGACACAGGTTCGGGGAAAAATGTTTTTTGAGGGCAGTCACAGCTGTTCAGGGACCATAATGCCAAACATAGTCCCCATTTTACATGGTCCGTGTTTTAGGTTTATAGCGTCGCTTGCCACAGCTGTAACTCATGGTCTTTGACTTCTTGACTGCTCCCTTTTTGAACTGCTGAGCAATGTTTTCAGTCTGTCAGTCTTTGGATCTGTACAAAGGGTGAGACAAAGGGTGGGGGAGAGAAAATTGAGAAATTAATGTTTTTATGCTTTAATTATAAACAAAACCAGATTTAGAAGACCACATATGTATTCAAATTTCTAAAGGCATATAACTGTGTCTTTACTGCACTAGTTTTATAAGTCAACAATGTTTGATTATGTAAAACCTTATTGGTACAACTAAACAATAAAGCCTCAAAATTGTTATAAAAGAAAGCATAAATGACAGCATAATTAGGGACCAGAATGTAGAACAGCCATTAGTCTTTGTAAGTCACTGAGGTTTTACAGCGCCTCTGAGGATTCATTTAGGATTACCATTATCCAAACACCACCATTCTACATGTCACTCTTTTGCAGAAAGAAAGTTTGCTTCCTTTGTTATAAAACATTTTCGTAGCACAGCTACAGTGGCTTAACAAAACAGGAAGGTGTTTGTTTGTGTATGTGTGTGTGCACACACGTTTGTATGTGCATGTGAGTTACTTGGTCAGTGAAGTTATGCACTAGAATGTTTAGGAAAGTTTACGCTGGTAAGCTTCAAGTAGTGCCAGTCAGTCTCTAAATGCCTCAATACCAATATTGTCCAAGCACCTCTTTCTACTAGAATTAACCATTAAAAACAATGTTAACCAAACTTACCATACTTACAGTGTGATATATGATGTTATATTTGGGTTATAGGAGTTTCACTCTATAGACATCAAGCCTCAGGTTAATTTTGTAACTTCTAATAAATCACTGAATGCTCAACAGGCCTCCTGCTGATGCTAATTCATAAATTTTCTAAACTACCTCTGTACGGAGACACCGCTGACAAAATGTTTATTTCATAATTTGAATTAAATTAACACAGAACAAAATTTTAATAATCCATTTACTACAAATATTGTCACGAAACCCTACATAATAAAACCTAAGCAACACTGCATAGCCACTCAGTATAGAATTCAAGCATCCAATTTTACAATAGTCACTTCTCATTCCTAAAGTCCTCACAGAAACAGAGAACCTGTTTTCCCTGGTGCCTATACTCAAGATTGAAATTGACAATTCAATTCCTCAACTGACGTCAGCTGATTTACCACGTGATAACCACGTGATACTTTCGTAACTGTCAATCCTTCAGTCCCTCAAGACTGAAACATGTGTGCTGGTCTTTTCATCTCTGTAAAAACAACATTAGCTAAGGAGCTTTAAAACTCTTTTACATCAGCCTCATTAAATACTCACAAATATAAATTATGCCCAAGAAAATGCGAAAGGAATGTTTGTGTGCAACTGTTTGTATTTGTATGGCTATGAATGTATGCGTGTAAACATGTTGGTTATGTCAAAGGAAACGTGCATTGCATGCAAATAACGCAGAAGACTTTTATGCAAATTGAATGTGAATAGATGTAATTCTAAAGGTAGTATAAATTACCCCGCTTATGAGAAAAAAGCTTTACATAGCACTACTTAAACAGCCATAATTGTAAAAGTTATCCTAAAAAGGTTGCATAATGTAGCTTCAATATGCCAGATGATTGTTGCACATTAAACTATCAAAAGATATTATACCCAGTGGAGTATCTCAAACACCTTCAAACTAATAAATGTTAATACCCCACACTGTACTGGGATAAACACAGAATGATGAATTAATGGTGCTTGCTAATGGTTTTCAAAATTCCAACTGTGAGTATTAAATGCTGACGTGCAAAAAATATATTAAATATTTCCACCACTGTTGACCAGAATTATAAAGATATCTCACTGAAGACCCAATTAACTAATAGTGGGGCATGTTGTCACAATGGTATCTGTAAATAAACAGGATTTTCGATCAATTTTAAACAGTAAATTCTATTTTAAATGGACTTTTGAAAACCTTATAATTATTGAGATACATCTCTTATGACAATTTCTCCTTGTGACGACTATCCCCTGATCAACCATATATATTACATTCTTTATAGCTTTCAATGCCAGCAGTTTAACTTTCTCATCCCCAGTCACATCGGCTCATTTCCATCCCTCTGTTCACTGAGCTCTGACCCCATCAGATAAAGATCTAATTAGTTAGTCTACTCACTAGTGCCTTGAGGAAACACTCCACCAGTACTGCTCCACACTGAAAAGGTCTGTCCAAATACAAGGTCACCCCAATATTACAGTAGAGGCCTCATAGCAGCATTTTAACACATGAGATAACTATCAGTCTCTGCTGGATTCATTAAAAACAACCTCTCCAAACACAACACTGACTGAAGGACCATTTGGCTTTCAGTGATTTAAATGAAGTAATAGTACATTTGGGAGATCTTTCAACTCTTGTATTATCACAGTAGGGTTGTAATGCCACAATTTAAAATTTAACAACTAAGTAGTTGCACAATCAAATGAGTATGTTAAGTGCTGCAGTGTTAAGACATTTTCAGAAAAATCAAGCTACACATGACTAACTTAGAGTTCTTTTCTGGTATAGGAGAAAGTATTTAAACAGCTTTAAATTAATCAAAGATGCAAATACATTTTGCATTCGAAATCCACTTAGCTTAAAAATCAAACCTCTGTTTAAATGGGAATGACGCATCTGCGCTTATGCGAAGTTGTATTCACTATGTGCCTGCATTTCTATCCATGTTCTTTCTTCCTGCCTTGTCTTTTAACGGCGGCATTGTATGCTAGCAATTTATCACCACTGTCCTTTCAAAAGACAAAAATAGCATGCGCTAGCAACAGCAAGGAAACAATTAAGACCATCTCTTTCTTCCTTTATTCCGCCAAGCTTCGTGCTTTTGTGGAGACCTGAAACCCTTTCCGTTTTCTCACGTCGAGTTATCACACAGCGTATCTGCGATTTAATTAGGACTAGAGGCTAATGCTAATTACAGCTTGTGAAAGCAGGTGGACCAGACTAGGAGTTACTTTAGTCTGTACATTACTTCATAGTCCAAATATGAACCTCTTGGAGATGAGAGAGAGTCAAAGAAAAAGCAAATGAGATCAGAGGTACTAAGACCATTATATGCAGGAAAAAAATTAAAAAATTCAGGCAAATGGTATGCTAGCCAAAGGTCAAACGAGTGATGAGGCACATTTATTTATATTTATTAAAATACTTCTATCACCAGCTTAATCTGCAGAGACAACTATAAAGTAACCCACTGATTTCCCAGATAAGTGTTAAAACTGTGGAGTAGGGCAAGCTATGCAAAATCACGTTCATAATCGCCAATGAATCGCCTGCGATTTTGAACGTGATTTTGCGTAGCTTTTCAGTGAACTATGGCTCTGTGTAGTAAATGCCGCTCCATCTGAAAGCACATGCTGGAGATTTACTACTAATCATAGAACTGGCTTTACTGATGAGATGAGCATGAAAATCGCATTGGATTTTTTTGCACAGCCCTACTGTGGAGTTATCAAAATCTTGCTGTTTGTTTAAGCAGACTAGCCCAGTGACTCAACCAATGGCATGATTTTGGAGCAGAGCTATCTGTTTGGTTGGCCAATGGTAGATGTGTTTGGAAAACCTGTTTGAAAATCTTAATTCTTGTGATTTCTTTAGGTGAACAACAATTACATATTTCCTCAAAGTCAAACCTTTCTCAACTTTGTCGCCTCAAATGGTCAATTCTAATTAAACATTTGTCACTGCAAATTGCTGCCAGGTGAACGCCTCAAGTGAGTTAGATATGATGGGCTTAGGCTTCCCGTGGCCACAGGTACTTGGGGCAAAAATGGCACTAAATTGGACAAAAATGCCCCTGCACAAATAAATGTAATCTATTACGTCTGTTGCTAACAAAGTGAATATGAATAGACAGTGTCGATTGCGGCATTAAATTAAAATCTGCTCATGTTGCACCATGTTTCATTTTAAGAGTTTTTACAGTGTTGCGCATTTGAACCAATCACACACAATTCTGTTGAGCACAGGAATGCAATGGCCAATCAGAGGCATTCAGATGAGTCATCGTTGAAACAGATCAGTTTTGTTGAGACTTAAAAATGTGAATTGTTTCACATTCACATTTTTTTTGCTGACTGAATTCCGGACTCTTGCAAATTCTCTCATCATAAACAACAAAGTGCAGATGTATGTACAATGTAAGTAAGAGATTCATTTCACAGTGTATACAGCTTCAGTGATTATAACGATAGTTTTTTATTTTAGAGTGCTAAAACTCGCAATGGATCAATGTTAGTGATAATGTCACTTTCTATATATAATTTATTCGCTGTTTGAATAACCTTGGAAAGGTTATATAATTATCAATTTCTAACGTTTTTATTAAATTGTAATCACGTTAAATACAAATTCAGTCCCATTAAACATTTTTTTAGCCTACATGACACCCATGTCTGGTTCTTGCCTAAAAAGACAGGATTATGATGTTTAATACATTTGGCTGCTTTTAGCCTTTCCCTGGAGTTGGTTCACCCGCCGCCTATGTATGTAACCCCCATTTAGGCATTTGAATGTATAACTATCAAAACATTGCTTTGTTTGAGCAGACCAGACCAACATAGCAACAGTGACTCAACCAATGGTGTGAGTTTAGGGTGAGGCTATGTGTCTGTGTTGACCAAAAGCAGATGTTTTTTTAGAAAAAACACTTTGAAAATGATCTTGGATTGTGACATGTCCTTTACAGTGACTCAACCAATGGTGTGAGTTTAGGGTGAGGCTATGTGTCTGTGTTGACCAAAAGCAGATGTTTTTTAGAAAAAACACTTTGAAAATGATCTTGGATTGTGACATGTCCTTAGGGAACACTGGTGGAGCAGCAATTACACATTTCACTTTTCACCAAAGTCAAAATTATCTTAACTTTGTTGCCTCAAATAACCATTTGAAATTACTTTGCCTTGTCACTGCAAATAGCTCCCAGTGTGAATGCCTCAGATAAGCGAGATATAATATCAATATCTATCAGTATACTTTTAGTTCAATAATTAATTGTTTTAATGTATAACATTCACATTGAGCACTAGT